TATACAGTGGATAAAATATAGAAAACTTGCCATTATATTAAGCAGGGCAAAATACAATATTGAGAGAGCACGTTTAGTATGATTGTAAACATGAAAGTTCATCATCCTATTTTTGCATTTGCATAATATTTATGTGAAGAGTCACAAGTTTCTCGGAAGAAACTCAATGTCCATTAATCATATGACTTGTCTTTTATAGATAAATTATATATATGAAAATGTAGAAATAAATCATATATTCCTATGTTATACTCAGACTTACCACAAATACAAGATATTGTATCTACCTTCCCAAATATATTGATTTCAATATACACCTTCTATATTAACCTTATAGACAATATATACTTTCCTTTCACATTCTCCCTCAAACTCAACATGCTATAAGAAAGAGTAAATAGAGTTTGAACATTAAGTTGCGGAGACGAGCAATTGGATTTTCAAGTGCATACTCAAATTGCTTGATCAACAAGCACAGAAATCAGTGGTGAAGTGGTAGCGGATCAACAAGCTTCAGAAACATAAGGCAAGAACATAGCGGTAAATCAGAGTTCAACAATGAACAAAAAATTAAAATATTCACCGGAGACAAAAAAACAGTCAAGACAGCTGATAAAACATAATGGTACTTGGAAGAACCACCAGAACTCCATGTGGATCTGATACAGATTTAGCAGCTCGCAGATGAGAACAAACATGATCGAGTAATAAGGCAACAAACTCAATCAAACAACATAAAGATGAACTTAGAAAATTTACTTCTTATTTTTTTTTCTTTTTTTTTTGCTTTTTTTTTTAACAAAGAAAATTGGATGCCACAACTTACAAAAGTGCTTTTTCATAATTTCAACAGTTTACTGGAGCAAACCTAAAAGATTGAGATTCTCCATTGAGTCAAGCAAGAAACAATATGACTCACCAACTGTTGCAAGACAAAATGAACAGAGTACAGCCATGAAACAATATGGACCACACCACCTTCTTCATTTTAAGTTGCTAGTCTTTTCAAAAGCCTCACTTTACCAATACATAAGACTAACCGAAGTTTTAGAAAACCAGAAGCCATGTGGAAGTTCTCCCTCTCTCTCTCTCGAAAATACGAACAATGAGTAAAAAATTACTAAGTATTCTACGACAAAGGTAATTTTACAATTGAAATAAAGAAGAAGCAGTTTTCACGGTTACTAAAAGTGGTATACCATCACACAAGCAGTTTTCAGGCAAGCGAGGAAGTAACATATCTACCACAGGGGGCGTTTTGATTTCACTAGGGTGATATTGTATGGGTTTTGACAGCGCGCAGTTTTGCAGGCGGTATTCAGATACTAATAAGGGCATGGTGGTTTTTTGATGAACGGTTTCAAATGGTGGTTTCGAGAAGTTGGTTTTTGTACCGTGGTTTTTCGAGGACAAAGAGTTCATATCTGGTGGTAGAACGGTGGGTTCAAGGACCTTTTAGGATTTCAATCGGGGTGGAGGAGAACAAACAAATCAAAAAGTCGAAACATGATTTGGCAAATAGACAAACCAGATAGTGCTCGACTGATATGACAGATCAGAGAATCTAAACACGACTCGACAGAGAGCTTAGAGAGGTGTGAACTCAGATGATAAATATACACAATAAAGATGAATCTAGCTTTGATATCACCCGAAGAGTTTCTTTAGAAACTGTGTCCATTAATCATATGAATATACATATTTATTTTTTATAAACAAATTACATATAAAAAAATATAAAAATAAATCACAAATTCCTATACTATATTCAGACTTACTATAAATATAAACCCTTCCAAATATAATAATTCCAATATACACCTTCTATTGATCAAATAAACAACATATATACTTCCATTTCACAATTTCCTCACCTGAACTTTATTAGCCCTTTTCAACCACAAGGTTTATCCAAAAGTATATCCACTCCCCTAGGCAAGAGAAAGGAACCCCCACGCACCCACCCTCCTCGTCTCCTATTGGCGGCGGCGCCTCTGTTCACAGCATATCTTGCTTCCACGATTCATTGAATACCAAAGCCTGAAAACTAAAAAATGGAGGAAAAATTGAAAGGTAAGTATGCCCCTCTATTTTTAATATTTTACTATTATTCCATTTCGTTTCACCACCCAGTGCAGTGCTCTAACTGGAAAAGTTTCACAAGGCAATAATAGCATGAATATGCGTGGGTTCTGTTGAACCAAAACTGTTAAAAAGTTTAGATTTAGAGTATACACCGGGAGTAGCTCAATAGAACTTTTTAACTTGTCTTTTCACATTATGCATTTATCTTCTTCAGTGGATACATTAATTTCTCTTTCTCCTTGTTTCTCCTATCCCTCTCTTATATCCTTTTCCTCTCTCTCCTTCTTTCTTTTGTTAATTACTCATTTACCGTTAACATTGAAAAAGAAAAATATTTTTTTTAAAAAAAATGTATTGCCGTCTTAAGAGCATTTTGAGAGGGTGGAAGGGGGATCAAGAATTTAAGATGTTGTTTGAAAATGCAAGAGCTGTCAATGGGCTGGGCCTGGCCCTAATCCCCTTAGGGCCGGCCCAGGCTCGTTCCAGGCTTGGTCCGGCCAAAGAGGCCCTAGCCCATGCCAGGCCGGGTCAAATAGAATCAAATAAAATTAAAGGAAGAAATAAAAGAAAATAAATGTCCATCTTGGGCCGAACTCGACTGGCCCTGTAATAGCCCTTGCTCTACCTTCGGGCCAAATTTTGTGGCTCAAGCCCTAGTTTTTAGGGTTGGGCTGGCTAGCCCATTGCCACCCTTGCAAAGCCTGGGATGTCCATGAACGCATGATGATTCTTTGATTAGAGCAATGATTTAAAAAATGCTGGGTCGGCACGGAATCGCTCAGTTCGATCTGGAAATTAATCATCTCATACTGATCCTGATAATATCTAGGAAAGCGTCTTGATCTAGAAGAGAACTGGCAATTTGCTACAGTAAAACATCGTTTTTCTACAGTAAAAATGCCATTTTGCTACAGTTTAAACGTTGAATCACCGATCTTGACCGGTTTTGGGCCGATTCACTATTATTGCACGTTAATTCATGGGTTCTCTGTTTTTTCTGCACAACAAAAATGTAATTGGTATTCACCGATCTGGACAGGCATTTGTGATGCCCGATTCGGGTCTTCGATCCGTTCTCTAAATGACTGGACAAAAGTGAATTCGTTAGTACTAAGTCTTCTAATAGTATGTGACCACCCACGTGGCCAGGGATATACACACGTTTATGGCAAGGCCAAGAATTAGCTTTTGGGGTGGGGACCGTGTGTGTACCATGTGGCAGAGGTCGTCGACATGAAATTATTTAAAAGAAGAAATTTAAGCTCAAGCGTTCCATGAGCATTGGAGTATCTTTTAACTATCTAGGTCTACCGTTTTGACAGGTAACAAAAAGAAATAAATACTTGACCAACAAGGAAAAGGAATCCAATGGGCAGGTTTATCTTGTGCTTCCACACTTTAATCCTCTTACTATGACTATGACCAAGCAACAAGAAGGGAAAGACTTGTCACTATATCCACTCATAATCCTCATTAGTCCTATGCATTTTTGTACAAAAATATCATTTAAAGGGAAATTTTATCAAATTAGAGCAACGTTTAACTATTTGACATCATAGGGGTAGTCATTGATAAATTTCGAAACCTGCATGCATCTATCATGTAAATGCACCTAAAACTTTACCAACTAACTTAATGTTAAAAAGGAAAAGTTTATATAAGGTTGCGACCTTAAAATGTAGAATTGAGGTGTATCTCAAAAATCTATCATAAGAGCTTGTTTTGAGCTTGGAAAGCCCTCTAATTAATCATCTCGACATTTAGGTGTATGACTATAAAAGAAAAAATGAGTACGAATCCTAAAAATTATGTATCTTGTAACACATTATTTGGACTGTCTATTTTCATGAATTTTAAATATTTATAGATCTATTTGATTTGAGCCATTTTTTGGAGCTTAAGATTTTATAATTAGAGATGAAAATAGATTCTCAAGCCACCCTAAGAAATTTTGACACCAAAATTATATTTATGATAAAATTTGAAGGCACGCTTTAATTTGATTGTTTAAGGTTGCAACACCTTCTTAAAAATTATAAACCCCAAAAGGAAAAATACTATATTATTCTATTGTTTCGGAGATTTTACGAACTTTGAATTTGTAATATTTTCAAAAAGTAAAAAATAAAAATAAAGATTATAATTCGTCTAGGATAAATATAAGTAAGCATTATCGCTAGGTCCATTTCCAGATTTGTAAGCACACAATTAATTAAGTTATGGAAGGACACGGTTTCTATGCGGCATATTGTAGAAATACGGGCTTATCGATAAATATATTTCGTAAAATATAATTCGATCTTAATTTTTAGAGAATATATAATATTCAACATGGAGATTATAAATATGAATAAATAAATTTAAAAATTAAAAATAATAATTATATTAAAAAAATATTTGGACACCGCAACAATTTTCGCCAACTAAGTCCAACATAAGAACGAAAAGGCTCCCCGACTGCCGCCTTCTTGTTTCGTGGAAACTCAGTAAGAAAGAGAATATGAAAGCGTGCGTAGGCGCGGGCGTCACAAAGTGACGTAATATTAGGAAAGGGAACCGTTATTCCCATGCGGCCCAACTGCTGAAATGTGGCCTGGTCGACGTCGCCAGCTTGGCTTGGTTCAGTGAACGGGGGGCGGCCCAAAACAAGTTTTTACTACAAATATACAAATTTTTATGAATAAGAAAAAGCAAATGGCAAAAAAATGAAAGAAAAGACAAAATTGGAAGAGAAGGGGGGTCTGTATGTAGATTTTGCCCACGAGGACAGCGTGCGTGCGTGTGTGGGACGAATGGAATTGTTTGACTGCCACCTTCATTTCGCCGACGAGGACCACTCCCCTCTTTTTCTCATATCAATCTAACATTTATTCTTCTCTTACGTTTATTTATATATATGTATATATATATACATGTTATATGTGCCATGATCTTGCACTTGCTCTTCTTCCTCCACAGCTGCTTTGCCGCAGAGGTTTTTACGATTAGAAGACATAGAAGTTGACTAGAGAGAGAGCAAAGAAGGATGGCGGGTGTTGCAGGAAGGAACGCAACGACGGAACTGAATCTGCCGCCTGGGTTCAGGTTCTTCCCAACAGACGAGGAGTTGGTGCTGCACTACCTCTGCAAAAAGATAACCCATCTTCCCCTCCCCGTTCCCATCATCGCCGAAGTTGATCTGTACAAGTACGATCCGTGGCAGCTCCCTGGTAACTAACTGCATCACTCACTTCCTGCTTGCTGTTAAATACTCTCTTTTCTTTCCTTCACACGCACACATACATATATCATCTTACCTATTGTTTTGATTTGACAATGTCATGGATAATGCAGAGAAGGCGTTGTTTGGGGACAAAGAGTGGTATTTCTTTACCCCTCGTGACCGCAAGTACCCCAATGGTTCCAGACCCAACAGGGCTGCCGGCACTGGTTACTGGAAAGCAACTGGGGCCGACAAGCTTCTCCGCCCCCAAACTTCCTCAAATAGGCAATGCGTTTTGGGGATCAAGAAGGCGCTTGTGTTTTACGAGGGTAAAGCCCCCAAGGGCCAAAAGACCAACTGGATCATGCACGAATACCGTCTCGCCAACCGCCCTTCCACCCCCACCACCAATTACAAGAAAGGCACCAGCTTGAGGGTGGGTAACAATAACACAACCGCATTGAATCAGTCATCCCTCTAGACTTGAGCTAATAAATATGATCACTGTGAGTGAGAAAAATCAGAAAGAGACATGTTCTTAACTAACAAAGCCCTAACATTTTGGCAGCTTGATGAATGGGTTCTGTGTCGGCTGTACAACAAGAAGAACAACTACAAGAAGATGTTGGAGCAAACGGAAGAGGAGTCACTTGCCGAAACAATGGATTCACTGGAGGCCATCGATGAGAAACAACTGCCCCTTCGAGACTCCTTCACCAACGCAGACTCTCACATCTTTCGCTGCGACATAGTAGGGGAAAGCTTGCCTGATATGGTCGATCTATCACCCCAACCAGCTTTTGGGTTTGGAGGCGAGGCAACTGCACGTGTGATGATGAAACCACCACCACCACCATCCACAGGAGGAGGAGAGAGAGGAATCGTAGACTGGGTTTCCCCCTTTCTGGGTTTTGACGATCTTCAATACACATTCCCCCCTCTAGGGGAGATAACAAACACAAACAGCACCAACAACGATTATTATTTTTCTGCTTACTACCCAAAGGACCTCATTCTCATTTGACTCCATTTTCTAGCAGAGACAGGAAAATGTACAGTGTAGAAACTTTAGAGTGCCCTTCATTCTTGTATACAATTGTCCATACATTTCTTTTTAATTCTTGTATACAATTATCCATAATTCTTGTAGAAACTTTTGAATTTGCTCATAAATGATTTGGCAAAATCTCAATGGCCTTCCCGCCCATTCTTTTGTGGTTATTTATTCTACGCCTAAGATTAAGAGCACTTTTGATTTTATAATATGGATGGAACTACTTTCCTCTCATGTATCTCCATCTTCTTTGATATTTAGACTAAAAATTTCCTTTTCTTTATTTGAAGCTAACCACGGGCCATCAACCGTAAGAACCTAGTCAAAGTGCTGCCTCCTAAACTTGCGACTAGAATCAAATACTTCAACCAAAAGCTCCATTCACAGAGAGAGACAATATAGATTGTAAAGTCACCAATCCATTACTTACCCCAAAAATAAGTCACCAATCCATTTTAAAAGGAAACAAGGTGAAGGAATCAATCATTAAAATGAAACTGATGAACGAATGACAAGAAAACATGAACAGCCGCAAGCATAATGCGCAACAGATCAAGCTCGCAGTATCTTCTTCAAGTGTATAAATCATCAGTGTGGTCGGCGTGGCTGGAGACCCTTCCATTGGCTGGCCGCCTCCTCTAGAAGCAGTCTCCAAAGAGTATTTCACATGTTTTCGTGGTAATAAGATAAAACCGTTCCTCCGTGGCATGGATGCTCATCTTGTTCAGGCCCCAGCTATCAAAGACACAAGGAGCCAATTATTCAGGTATTGAACACCCTGAGGTCATCATCACCACCATATACTGCTTCAGTCATAGAGGAGCTGCCAAGGCATTCTTCAGGGTTTGCATAGAAATAGTCCTCTTCTTTTGGTCTCTCTGCTATTACTTTCCTCTTTGTCGGCTGACCAATCCGTTGCCTATGCACTCGTCTAACGGCATCCAAGAACTCATCCCACGTCAGTGTGTTGTTGCGGTGCATATCAATGAGCTCTACCAGCTCCCTCCGATCCAATTGAGCAGTCTTGCGGAATCCCAAATACCTGCAGCAGCATTTGTATCCCTCTTGAAATCCAAGCAAGCATCTCTCCATCTCCATCTCTCTCTTGCTCTCTCTCTCTCTCTCTCTCTCTCTCTCTCTCTCTCTCTCTATATATATATATATATATACACACACACACACATACACACATATGAGTATCCTTAAGGTACTCAACATTTTTGAATACTTGATACGCCCCACCATATACTAATTTTTTTGTCTAAGGGTATTTTAGATACTTAATCAGGTAAAGTAGAAATCCTTTATAAAAAAAAATATATTTATTGACTATAGTGGAGGATGACATCATCTACATGAAGTATCACATCACCCACATCCAGCAATAATTAATTGCTCCATGTGGTTTGCGCACCAGCAAGTCTATCGAATAGTCAGACCGGATGATTCAAATTCGATCTCAGCGTATGCAACAGCTTGTTGGGTGGGTACCTTTTTATTTATGATGTTTTTATAAATCCTTTTGAGCTGAAAATATGGGAAAAGAAATTTTGAGAGGCTCACAAAATCTAGGGGCACAAAAAAAAAAAAACTAGACATCCTGTTGTTTGGCCAACATTAGCTGGCTGGCCCATAATATCTTTTATATATTGGGAAAGTATATGATGAGACCATTTACCTTTAGTACAAGGTGGTCACAACTAATCTTGACCATTGGATGTGAAATTGGGTGGCTGCATTTCTTGTATTGACCAAACTCAAAGTTCAAAATAATTTTTCTCGAACTTTGTGACACACCCAAGCTATTAGATTTCACATCGGATGGTTATAAGTAATTGTGACCTCTCTATACCAATGGTAAATGGTCTCAATGTATACTAATACTATATATATATATATATATATATATATATATATATATGAAAAAAAGATTTCCTAAGCTACTAGCTATAATAAATAATATAAGCGATTACGCCCAACTGTCGAGTCTTTCATCACGTGATTCAAAATTCATATCATTATTTTAATTTTAATCTTCTTTTTATAAATCAAAGTAAGATGAAATTTTTGGTGTATATACCTAGCATTATTGCACATCATATAAAATATAAAACAATTACTTTCAATAATTTAAAATGACCAAATTACCCCTGTCATTTTTTAGGGGTATTTTGGTCATTTTATATTTTAAGAAATATTTTTTATTGTGCGCCCTATATTTTAGTACACACATCCAAAATTTTATTACGATCTGATTTCTAGAAATTCAGATAATGGTATGAATTTTGAACTACCGGATGAAGATCCGACAGCTGAGAGCTAGTAGCTTGTACTATTCAGTATAACTGGTAGCTTAGGAAATCTTTTTCCAATATATATATATATATATATATATGAATGATTTCACCGATATGCACGAACCTGCGGTGGCCTTCCACAAGTTTTGCCATATTTCCATCATAACTGGGAACAAAGACATCACTTTCTATAGCAACCAAATAATCAAGCGCTGCCATTTGGGTTGAATGGTTCAGGAAAGGCTTCAATTCATCAGGGCTAAGGAGCATCTCCTTCCTTACCTGTACGAATTGGCAGAACGATATCACATTGGTGAAAGAAAATAATTGTATGTTTCTTTGCCCAAGATAACAAACATACTCACTATTTTCGGATATGCAGCTCTTAGAGATGCAAGCCTTCTTTCACCGCCATAGATCTCCCCTGAAGCAATGTAGATTAGAGTATCCTTTTCGAAGCCCAATGCCTTCAGAACTAGTGCAGTTTCCTCAGGAGTAAGGGGGCATAGACCCTCTAATCTTTTCTGCTCTGAATCAATCTCTTTCTCTTTCCACCATGGGTACGCATATCTGAAAAGAAATAACACTCCCAGTCCATCAATTCTTAAAATACACCCCCAACATCAAATTATCAATCAAGACACAAAATACAGGGCACTTCAAATGACAAAAATATGTGGCAAACCTCATCCTTGTGAGCTCGGCAGTCTCTGCCTCAGAGCAGCCATTAGTACAACCAGAAAATGCTAGCATATCCATCTCATAGCGTAGATGAAGGACCACAAAAAATCCACTCTCTCGAAGCATTGAAACAAGTTTCCTGCCCAAGGCCTCAATATGAGGAGTAAACCTCAACGCCTGATAATTGACCCGGCATCGTAGCATCTGGAGCTCGAGAGGGAGGCCATTGTTTGCCAAGCGAGAATCCGTCTTGTTAAAATGTATCACTTTGTATTTATGGAAAAGAGGTAGAATCTGCAAGAGTACAACAGGTTCTTAGAAAATATTTCAGATGTCCCCATGAAGAAGAACAGCAAGCATTTCAATATGCCCATGCCTGTCAGTTTTGTCGAATCTGACCTGTTTCAAATAGTACTTCTCATTAGACCAGCTTACTGGAGGCATCGAGAATGAGGTGCTACGAAGCTTACGATGTAGTTTCTTTGGAAGTGATTTTACAATATGCACCTCATCTCTCAATGAATTAATGAAGTGCTTGACATTAAAAATATCCCCAAAATCACTGCATAAAGATCAACGCTAGTAACAGGTAAGAATGATCATCAGAATGCTTAAAACCCATTAGAAGATAACAAGAGTGCCATACCTAGGGTCAGCCCAAAATGATGTCTTATCAAGCTCGGGAACAACTAATGTCAGATTTAAAAAACGAGCAATGGTCACCATATCACAGATCTGCAATGAACTACTTACTACATCAGTATATAATCCACATTTTTTTATGCTCAAGAAAGTACGATATGACAGTTACAACACATGCAGTCTGACTGATTGCCTAGAATACACTAGGAAACCATATTGCAGTCCAAGGTAAATTACATACTGCAGCTCGCATTTGATTCAGACCTCCATTGCAAGACACTGTGAGGTAACCATTATTTTTGTAAACCCCTGCAATGTTACCACAATGTCTTTCTCAATATTACAGGAGAAGTTTGATATAACTAAAAAGAAACAACAGCAAATTAGTAACTAAAGCAAACATTTTCTAAAATGAGGACCATCAGTTTTAAGGTTTACAGGAAAGGGTTTAGGGTTTAGCGTTATGGCCTCACTGAGGATATGGCCTTTAATAGAACAGAATGGAGAACAGGGATTCATGTAGCCGACCCCAATTAATTGGGAAAGGCTAAAATGATGATGATGTTCAATTTCTATACATATATTTTATTTCTGCAGCAGAATAACATTAAGCATTTTACCGGTTTTTCAGACAGCTCAGCAATATTACTAAATCTGCCCAAATCAAATCCTATTACAAATAGCAGAAGTAAGGTATTCCGGCACCAAGGGGCATAACATGAGGCATTTGTATGCCATGCAATATCATGTTATTGCCATATTCATATCCCACAAAATTCCTGGAGTTATCTCCAAATACATCCCTTTCAACAATGCTGATCCAATGTAACATACAACTTCCTAATTGCTAGCAGTCAATACTAACCAGGCCCATTATTTGGGCAAAACTAGCTTAATTAATGTAATTTAAATAAACAAGGGTTCCAAAATATCCATCATATAAAGGAGAAAAAAATTATTGGCCCTTGGTGCCAATAAAATTTTTATTCAATGAAATAAAATGCCCTTAAGTTGATCTCACATCCTCATTTCATGAAAAGTAACATGTAGAGAGATGACGACACAATTAAGTCTAAGGCTAAAACTACGGTAGGCCTCTTAGCCATATTCATACCCCACAAAGATGCATGCTTCTGCTTTTGGAGAGAGTTTCTTTCTTGACTTTTGCTTACATGGACATAAGCATAACATTCAAAAGATTGCAGAATAGAATAGTCTGCACGCTTGAGAAGAGTATTGCTCTTTATAATACTACTCAAATCATCGTAATGAGAAATGAAATAGTTATCTAGAGGAGTATTGCTTGTTAGATTGAATACCTTTATGATGACAATGATCCATCTAATGAGCAACCTAATGCTATGCCAAAGGTCAAAAAACCCAATGAGCAGCCCAACTTCACACCAAGATGATTGTGTATCATAGATGAAATATGAGACAGCATCATGAAAACACGGTTAGCAACTTGGCTGAAATGGAGAGGAAGCAACCTGAAAATACACATATAGCAGGGGACTAAGGTGGAAATGCTTAAAATATGGGTGTTGAGTCAAGAGGACAGCACACTGAACATGGGAAAGCTGCCACAATTAATGAAGATAATGCAGCAAATCAAGGCATTCTCATATCTGCATATACATGTCATCCTATAGATCGATGTATAAGACATGAAAACTTCACAAATGATTATCAAGCATTATATACGAAGCTCTCAAACTAAAGGTGCCTACCAGCTATTATGTGGCCGTAAACAACCTGAAGAGGGTTGAAGCTATGGCCAAAGAAATAGAAAACATGATCTTGAACAGCATGTGGAGATTGTGAAGAATCCTATTGGAAAGAATGTTGTGGCCAGCAAGGGGGAATGGTATATGAGATAAAATATATTTCGGATGGAAGTATCGAGCAATTCAAAGCTCAATTAGCAGCAAAAAATTTTAATCAACACCATGGATTGAGGAGTTATGCATGGAGTAATCCCCCAGGTTTCAGTGAGAAGAATTTTCTGGAGTACGTTTGTAAGTTAAAGAGATCCATCTATGGATTGAAGCAGGCTTCTCTTACTTTGTTTCAAATCTTTTATCATGCAATAAGAGATTATGGATTCATAAGGATCGCAGGTGATCATTATCTTTTCATCAACAGAAGCAGCAGATATATTGTGATTATTCCCATATATGCTGATGACATCTTTATTACAGAAAGTTTTTCATATCTTATTGCTGACATCAAGAGATTCCTTCATGACAGATTTCAGACGAAATATTAGGATAGCTACCATTCAAAAAATGCTAATGAGAGGTGTGGTCTCATGGCATCCCACAGATTGAGTGCTCCTTTACAAAAAATGATAGTACAAAGATAAGAGAGAAGGAAGAAGAGCGGAAGAGGAGAGGGAGAGAAAGTAGAGCGAGGGGGGAGAGAGGGGAGAGAGAGCGCTCTGGGGAGACAGAGATGCACACTATCAAATAATCATTGTTGTACGAGAAGAAATGAGTAGAGAGTACATTAACTCATGCAAAGGCCACTAATTGCAGCATAATCAAGAAACCCAAAATGTCGAGAAAGAACCTACGCATGGATATGGATGAGTCTAAAAAATCCATGATTTCCAATACTAATCACATCACACACATGTTTGGGGATTGAAGATCGTGGTATTGAAGGTGTTTGCCAGGAAAGACCTTATCAATCGACACCCACACCAGTGGTCGCATAATGTCATACAAACACATGATATTGAGCTTCACAGTGTCACCACCCCAAGAAACCAAGGCAAAAAGACTAAAATACAAAGCTATGAACAATGTTTCCTGGCCATATTAGCCTATCAACCCCAACGAGAGGAATGAAATAATATACACTCTAACTTCTCAACGTGCTCATTTAATGATATCTAACGTGTCCCCCTTTCTCCAAAAAAAAAAAATCGCACTTAAGGAATCTTTAAAAAAAAATGAACGTCACTCATCCACCAAACTGCTCTGACCTCAAAGCAAAAATCAAACCTAAGAGGCCATCTATCTGACTATGAAAGAATAATAGGTAGCCATGCTACACATCAAACTAGCATTTTAAATCCCAAACCCCATATAATGATGAAGCTATGAATGTAAAAAAGCTACAAAAGTGAAATGTTAGACATAAATTACTAAGATTGAGTTGGCAAAGAAATGAGAAAAAAAATTCCTAGGATTGAGTTGGCAAAGAAAAGGCAAACTAAATCAATCCCTACGTTACACACATTTTGATTCCATGTTATTGACGATGCAAGACACCTATGTGTGTATGAGTGTGCACATTTTGATTCCACATTGTTGACCATGGAGGGCGCTTGTATGTGAGTGTGTCTGTATCTGTCCGAGTGCGCATGCGTGCTTGCAAGAGTGCGCGTGTGTGTGTGCATGCATGTGCATGCGTGCGTGCCTACGTGTGTGTGTGTGTGTGTTTTTTTGGGGGGGGTGTGCATGTGCATTCACCAATTTGCATGTGTATGTGTATGGGTGTGTGTGTACGCGCACATGTGCAAGCGTGCATGATCAAATAATATCTAAAAATTACATTTATGTCAAGGTCATATAGGATCTAGAAAATATGAAAGCCTTTGGAAAGTACATTCAAAACAAACCCCACAAAACAATTTTTGGGTGTCGATCATGCCAAGCCACTGACTAAAATCTAACAAGTTTTCCATTGTGATCATAAGTAGTGCTCCCTCCCTTATAAGGCCAACTTATTCATTTGAACAAGCTCAATGGAAAAATTTCAAGCAATGTATGATAGGAGCTATGAATGAATTTGTGACTAATGTCATTGTTTTAAAAGACATGCAAGAGTATTCATGTAAGGCGACTTAGCGAAAGCCAGAAGCACAGAAATCATTCATAGATAGGAATCACAAAATACATTTCTTTTACTAGAACAAACCAAAAGGAACATCAAGCAAATCAAGATAGATTTGGAAAACCTGAGAAATAAAGGGAATGACGCTTTTCTACCCATCTGTAAAAGTAGGGAATGATGCTTTTCTCCCTATCTGCCAAGGCATGGTGATCTTTAAAATGTAAAATTTGTGCTGGAGAGAAGACCAATCCGTGGTCCACTAAATTACTCGCTGTGACTTTGCAAGGTACATAAGGAGCTCCATATTGCAGCACTACGGTATTGAGTGGCCCACACAAGGTTCCACTGCTGATCCATTTACTGGATGGTTGACGGGGTTTATTACCAAGAGGAGTCAGTTATGGTGGAGGTTTTGCATACTATCAGTGTTTTAGAAGTCGGAAGGCATGCCTTAGCTGCCTAGGCAGGCGCCTCAGATGGGGCAGGATCATACGAAAACCCTGGCAAACATCAATGAGAGAAATGCTACAGTGACTTCTCTCGTAAGCCAAAGGCTATCAACTGTCCGATAAAAAATCAGATGGTTGAGCACGTGTAATACTACTTTTATTTTAAATAATTTTTATACAAATCAGATCAACCTGAAATTCGGAGCGTGTGTAAATCACACCACCATGCCCCCAATAAAAATATTAAAGACATATTTTACATAATTTAAATGGGCAAAAACACCCCTGTATTTTAGAGAGGCAGTTTGGTCATTTTTAATTGTATGAAGTATTTTCTTAAATAGTTTTATTGGGAGTGCGAGGCGAGGCGCATCTACCTTCCAAATTTCAGCTCAACCAAGTTTATAGAAAGAAAATAAAAATTTGCACACCCAAATACACTCCTAATTATTTGATCAAGACTAGGTGATTAGGGTGGTGGGGGGCCACAACATGATGTCTTGAGTTCCATTCCTACATGAGTAAGGGACCCCTTCCATGCTGAATTACCCCCAAAAAATAATAATCATAAATAAATAAATAAAAATCATAACCATCCCATTCATTAGGCCCATGAGCAAAATTATTGTAGCATTTTGCTAATGAGCATTTGGTAGGGTTTTACCACACACACACTTAGTGTTACATGGACACCGATACGGGCGTCCGTATCTAGTATGTAACAAAGTATCTATTATAAGGGGCTAAAAACCCAGTACTTTGAGACACATCCGAACAAAAAATATTTTAAGGTATATTATATAAATTTTAATTTATTAGCATCTAAAACATAATGGCGTGGTGATAGCGCTGACGGCGCAAGCGATCCTGGTTAGGACGTTCCTTGATCAAGTCCCCCGCGAGTGAGATTTTTGCATTTCTCATTAACTACAGTTTATATTTTAAAACTTATTTAAATTGTGCAAGTCCTGATGAGACATTGTCACAATAGCACTCCAGCTAATCGCCTAATAGGTCTTGGGTTAAAGACCTGCGTTGGTCGGTTTAGGAAGGGGTTTATATTTAATGCTAATAAAAAAGTAATGCATTGCCAGGAATTGAACCACTCTCCCTTCAATGTCAGACATCCATGCTACCACATGGACCCTTGTGTGTATATGTTAGAAAATCACCCAACACTTCAATTTAAATTATCGATAGTAACTAAAAAATTGTTGAGAGAGAGAGAGAGAGAGAGATGGGGCAGCATGAATTTGCATGTGTGTGTGAGAGAGACATGCTAAGGCCAAGGGGAGCCAAGGTGTCGGGCTTGGCCCCTTGGCCAAGGTGATAGGTGCCAGCCTCAGAGAAACTTGGCCACCTAGGTGGGTGCCTAGAGGGCTCCCCACCCTAGGTGACTGCCTATCCCTCTGCAAGGCATCTCGAGTCTTGGTCCGCTTCAAGGAGGTGGGCGCTTAGAGGGCTCCCCACCCTAGGTGACTGCCTATCCCTTTGCAAGGCATCTCGAGCCTTGGTTCGCTTCAAGGAGCCGAGGCAGGATGCCTTCTTACGCCCTGCTTCCTGTTATGTGGGGGGGCTAATGATGGAGTGGAATAATAATACTTTTAACGAGACGAGGACGAGTAAGGAGGTATTGTGGGATCCCGCATCCAAGATCAAATGGTTACTTAGTAAGTTTTAAGGAGTTATGGGGTTATAAAGCTATAGACTTCGAGTGTGATTGGAAGGAAATTTCCTCACACCATTTGGTGGTAGGCCATCCCCTATTTGGTATTCTGGAAAATCTGGACCATGGGTTCCTCAAGTTTAATATGATGGAAGCTCTCATGGTAATCCATGGGTAAGGTGGGAACAGGGGCATACTTTGAGATGTGAAGGGAGCGAAGATTCTATCCTTATCCAGACCTATTGGATGTTATGACTCCTCCTCGCCTGAAGCCAAGGCCTTACATACTAGAGTGACATGCTCTCCGATGGATTCCAGGTGGTACTTAACAGGGATTGTCTATGGGCGAACAAGTTGGCATTGAAGGAAGCACTCCCACAGATCAATTATCTTTAAGGAGAAATTTTAGTATTCGTGCTCATCAGAATGTTTCCTTCTCTCATATTAAAAATAGTGCCAACTCAAAGGCTGATACATCAGCTAATGATGGTGTAGGTTGTGAGAGTTGAAACATAGAGAGAGTCATATCCTACGGGTATCCCTTGTTATATGGGTACACTCGTGTAATTTCAACATAAATTAATTAAATTGTCACTTATAAAAAAAAAAAGTAGAACACAATAAAAGTCAAAAAGGACTTGAATCTAGATTCATGCCTTTATCAGTTACTAAATCGTCTGCATCACTGACACAGCCAAGAAGAATAACCACAAAGCATTTAAGCTATAAATCAATACATGCCAATTTATCCAAGCTCTAATGGCATAAATAATACTCCTTACCCTCACACTAAATAAATATAATCAAAGTGAAAGCAGTCCACAGCCTGTCCACATGACATGAGATGTAGACCTTCAAGAATATGGCCGGGGGTTCCCTCAAGGCTTACGTTGAGGCCCATTAAGGAATATGACCAGCATCCGTAAGAGCCCCAAAAGGAGCACCGGGCCTGGAGTCATGCACCTTAATCATAAAAGATGACTTGTATATTAGCCATTAACAGCCCTGCTTGAGTAGAGGACGTTTGCATGTGACAGGTTTACCTTTTGCTGGCTTTCAACAGGATGCTTAGGTAGTCCAGAAAATAGAGCACATCTCATCTTACTGGGCAATAATTCCTCAAATATAATTAGATTAACATGACAAAAATCCAAGTACTGGCATGCATTATTTTCCTTAGTTAAGTTTTAATTTTTGGACGGTTTTATGCCTTTGTGGAGAGACACATGAAGCAATATGGCATGCCCGGTATAAGAATACATAATGTGTAGTGAAAAATGAGACGCATTTGAGAACATATGGTTTGTGAACTTTGAAACAGCATATTCAGAGAAAACATATTTATATCAGTGTGGCTCAAATTGCAAGTAATTCATGTCTTTCCTTGCAAATAATCACAAACAACCATGTGTGGTACAACTTGTTTCACTTAATCTGGCCGTTTACAAGGACAATTTTCTTTATCTTTTCTAAATTTTAATTAGAAGACACTAATAATTTTGGCATTTACTTTCTTATGTGCAACATCCCAGTGTTCTAGCAACCATCGAGCACAATTCCCTGCATTTTAGCTGAGATATCGCCATAAAGCTACTCTCCACCAAGTTGTGAAGCAGCCAAACTTTCCATTTCCAATCTTCTCATGACCAGCATGATTTTGAAATAGTGTCCCCATAGCACATCTCACGAGATCCAAATATAAGTAGGATATCCCTTAAGATGCCTTTGAAATAGTTGTCACAGTTGAAAGTGAAGTTGCAACAAGATAATGGTGGCCGCTTGCATCAGTTCAAAGCAGGCAATAACACAAGGCACTGTGAAACACAACCCACGGCTTCAGCTTCTTTATTTAGGAGGATTAAATCATTCTTTATATTACCCAGCCATTTTTAGGTTAGTTACACAACAATTATGCAACTTCCGCATTCTTTTCTGATAGCCATACAGTTCTGGCAGAGCATGTGAATATGCTTTGGACTACCTTCAAACCTCAGCAGATTTCTTTGACATCTTCATAGGCTTGCCCAAAAGAATTATCTTATGACACTCTGCCTATCACCTTAAAACATTATCCCTAAGAGTTAACTCCTAGGAAGACTAGAGAACCTGCATCAAAGACCCTCTGCCCCGGCACTCCAAAACATTAACCCTGAAGACTAGAGAACTTGTATCGAACAATCTCTCCAAGTTTTAATAAACACCAAAATGGGGTTTTCACACTTGAAAACATGACAATCAACTTTTACCCTAATTATATGGGCATTTGTTGCAATGGGGCAATTGCCTGCACAGACCTTATCTTTGACAAATTTTCTCACTGCCTTCCCATTTTCTGTCACACCATGCTTTTTCCAAGAGTGAAATTCTCTATTATCAACACCAGCATATAAACTCAAATTTTCACCTAATTAAAAACTAAATTTCTGCAAAGTGAAGCTAAATTGGCCATAGCGATTTCAGTTCAAAGTGGAAGAAACCAGCACTACAAACCATTCATTTTCCAAATGGCAACGCATAAACAAGATTTCACACACATTAGCATTAACTTCAGATGTAAAGAGAAAAGAAAAGAAGGACAAAACGAAAAGATAGAAAAAGGATTGAAGCAATGAGGTAGACAGGAATGTGGTATGACGAGAAAAAGAGGAGAGGGGGAACTCACTGAGAGGAAGAAGGGCAGGTGGCGAAGAAGCAGCTTTTTCCCCATGAATAGAAAACTGAGCAACACCACCTACAATCGAAGACGAAGCATTGGAAGAAGAGAAAGCAGCTGATGATGACGAGGTTGCGAAATGGTGGTGGCTACGATCGAAGCAGGTGGGGAGATGGGGGTGCCATAGCTCACCGATGGCCATCAACTGAATGAGCCCCGTCCATAGCAGGATACTAGAACTCAGCCGAACAAACCAGACCTTAACACAGCGCCTCCTGCTACTGCTGCTCCCTGACCTCACCTTCCCCCCTGTGAATTTGAGATCCAGCTTGTCCTTCATCCTTCTCCTCCTCAAACCCTAATTTCCCTCCCTGCAACAACAAGCAACAGTCTCCCACATCAAAATCAACCTGCATTTCTCCACCGAAAAAGATCCAAGGAAAAAGATTGTTTGTTGAGATGGAAGAGGGTCATACGGTACCCAAGAGACAAAGAACAAGTCATCCACAATCATCACAGACAAATAAAGAAACAAAGACTCAATCAAGAAAGCAAGAGAAAGCCTCCTGACTCCTCCCTGCTACTGCTCTCTCTTGCTATGCAACACAAACAAACAAACAAACAAACAACAAAGAGAGAGAAGCGAATACCCAACCTTATCTCAAGTGGAAACCGTGCTCCTTCCCGTTGGATCCTATACTTCATTCTTTCTGAGGAGAGAAGAAACAGGGGTTCTTGGAGGAAATGGGACGGTTGCCGCCGTAGCACTAGTTAGTAAAGACTCACTACCTCCCTTCTTTTTACACTCAAAATGCGGGTCTTTCTCTCAACCGCTCCTCCCTAGTAACTGCCTCCACTCTATTAAGCGCTCTCTCATATCCCCCTCTAAGTCGTCGCTTTAGCTGTACTCCTCCTGCACACGCGCCATTTTCTCACTTATCCTTAGGGCTGTTAATGGGCCTAACTTAGCCCTGCTCTTGTCCCCACCAAAACATCAAAAATGAATCAAAGACAAAAAAAAACATACCAGGCCCATTTCCTCTCTCTCTTCATCAATCCATCCGGCCTCCGGTGAATCCACCCCTCGGTTCTGCCCCAAAGTTTGCCGCCACCGCGTTATTTCTTAACAGACACGTTCCGTGCTTGGTTTATCACTGTTTTCGCCTTTTGGGATGGGTTGCGGCCCGCGCCCGTAGATGCATGGTGGTGCGGCTTTCGCGTTATAAAATGACTCAAAAGTAAACTTTTATCTCTAGTTTTAACATTTAAAATTTTAAAAATGCCCTGGATTTAGGAATATATAATTTTTTTTGAAATAGACTGTCTAGCGAACATATTATAAGATATATTATTTTTAAGAGTTCAAATTTTATCTCTCTCTCTCTCTCTTCGTGTCCAAACTTCTCATATATTATATAGCATATTATACGGATATTTAGTTATTTTTAAGTTATAATCTTATTCTCTAGAAGGTATAGGCGAAAAGGTCTAGTCAAAACTTGGAAAGAATTTTTATATGCGCATGTTAAAACTATGAATAAATTAAAACTTCTACAGTAACATTTGGCTCAGGCAAAGGAGAAATTTAAATATAAAATAAAAATAGCTTTTACGTATAGATCGGTTGAATTATTCTTTAGTCCATAAGTTCTCGAAAAGTTTAACGCGATGTTCACCTCTATGTTCAGCATTTAAAAAATTGAACAATTTTTTTTCATTTGTTTTGACTTAAGGCGGTTTAATGTATAAAGTATCTAACAAACCTATTAGTGTATAAACTATCTAACAACCCCATTAGTGGGGCGGTTTGATTGCAAAACATCAGATGGCCTACACATTTCGGGCCAATATTGTGTATGGGCGGTACGATGTTACAAACATCGGGCCTCTTAGATTCCTATTTTTAAAAAATATTTTAACGGTCCAATGTTTTGCAACATTAGACTACTCTTGAAGTGTAAAAAAACTTACAGTATAGTGCGGCCTGATGTTTTCATTGCTAGACCACCTACATATAGGGTTGTTTGATATTTTGGACATTGGACCGTGCCCTATAAAAGTCAAAAAAAAAAAAACTTGGAAAAAAAAAAAACTAGGGTTAGTACTTCATGGTAAACATACGAACTTATAGACCAAAGGGTATATTCGGTTAATTTTACCGGTTTTGTAAGTTAATAACCCTAAAAAGTAAGAGAAAGTATATAATGAGACCATCTACCTTTGGTATAAAGTGGTCACAATTAATTTTAACGAATAGATAGCAAATTGGGTGGCTGCATTTGACCAAAATAAATTTTCTAAAATTTTGTAGCTCTCAAGTTTACATGAGATACTTGAAAGTAATTGTGGCATTTTTGTACCAGTAGTAAGTAGTAAGAATGCAGTAGAAAACTACCACAGCTACAAAAATAAATATCGAATGTGAATTTTTTATGTGAAATAAAATGGGACAGGCAATAGATCGAATGAATTAAATAGAATAGAACATGCAACGGGTAAAAGACACATGTTTTACAGAGGAGTATTTACTTCAAAGGCGGGAAATTGGCTTTTCCTATGTCACCAATGAATGAACCACTTGCCCGCAAACTGGGACCCTATCAAACACGTATTCAATACTTTTCCACAATCGCTGGCGTTGACATGCTTTACATTTAAAGGGAAGCATGTGCAATATATATATATATATATATATACTTTTAAGATTCCTAATTAAATTTACCATATATAGGTTGCGGATAATGACAATCTGGACGATTAAGGGTCCAGCGTGTTCCCCTAAGCGGCTCTTCCTGGCCTTGGCGGGTACTTTGCCTAGACTTCTTTCGTCTCATACCTTAACTCTCGGACCAACTTTCTTAGATGTAAATTTAAGTAGGTTTCTACAGTAATATTGTGACTCTTACTGTAACAGTTTTACTGTTCACTGTCAAGCTCTGATACCAAAACACGCCGGGTCAAAAATAAGGAAGAAATAGTCATCAATGATGTTGAAAAACATATTCAAAACTGGAATATTCCCAAAGTCCCAATAAAAGATATTTATAAAAAAGGAACATTTAATTTTAAACTTGGATATGCTATAAAAACAGTAGAAGAAAGTCTATCCATAACTCAAAATCAAGAAGACTTTCAACTATTATCAAGAAAAATAATTGAAAAACATAAGGAAAATAATTATAAATATTTACACATTGGATTAATTCAAATTGCTATAAAACCTTTGACCCGTTTAGGGTTGAACACCTCAGTGCTTGTATGCCTAAGAGATACAGCCACAATAAGTTTACAGATTCACTTCTAGGTTTGGTTGAATCCAGTCTATGTAGTGGACCCATATATTTTAACTATTTTTCCAATTTTTTTGTATCTTTAACTGACCCTAATATACTAGATATATTAAGAATAAATCTTAAGACCCATGGATTCAATATGATACATGGCTCTCAAAATCTAGCTATAGTATATCGTATCTATTACAAAGTTATGAATACCCTTTGTCCCAATATCATGCAAACCGATAAGAAGGATCAAACCATATTATTTCAGACAAATATAGAAAAATCAAATACTATTATACCTAAGACTATTACTTGGTCAGATATTATTCTACCACAAACATGGGCACTTCAAAATGTGAATCAGCCCACGGAAGTACCTGTCAATAATATCCCCAATCAAATAATAGAACATCAAGATGGAAATATTGAAATTAAATTTCAACAATCACAAACACAAGATGACATAGAAGTCCATAGAAAAAGGAATAAAAAACCAATGGATCCAGCAAGAAAATCTTGTCATACACCTCCAGATGTTATAATCCTTCCATCCCCACCACTACCTACAACATCTTCAGACTTACAACTACAATGAGTAAAAAGAACAGCAGATCATGTAGTAATACCCACATATACATCTACGTCTGAACCTGACCTAGCAGATTTTCAGATACTCACTTTACAAGTTGAAGAAGTTGAAGAAGATATAATCAGTAATGAATACCTACAAAAATACTTAGCTAATAAATTAGCAAAAAAGAAGAAAAAAGTAGATATCGACTATATCAAACAAGATTATCTAGCCCCAGAAAATCAAAATATTAGAGAATGGTATTTTAAAACATTCCAACCAAGATTAGTAGAATTATTCCATAAAAAATATAATATATTCTTGAAAAAAGAAAAAGAGACAAAAGGATTTTTTATATGGTTACAAGAAATTTTTACTCAATATAAAATTCCAATTTCTCAATTCAATGCTATTCAAACAATAGAGGAGAAAACATATATCAGTACGGATGGAACTACAACTGCTAGTACTCATCCTCCTGAAAAGAGTATAATACTCAAAGGTGCAATACCTCCTATAAGTAAAGGAGAACCACCACAATCTCTATAAGAAATTATTGCAACACCATATAAAGTTTTACCCAAAGAAATAGGGAAAAAAACAAGAATTAATATCTCACATCGTAAAATAAAATAATTATACCAATCTATACATGCAATCGTTAGGAAAACAAGCGGAACGAATAGAAAAACTGGTTACTCCCCAAACTAAGGGAATAACTCCTTCTATTCCTAAAGCTGTTTTATTTAAACCACCTCTAGAATTAAATAAAACCAAATTTCATATAGGTGAATATAATAAAACCCTAATGGATCAACTCATATCAAAATTAGCACAATTAGATATCAAAGGAATACCTTCACCCAAACTTAGTATTCTTATACCAATACCCAGTATCTCTATACCTCTACCTACTATTCCTGAATCATCAGAGAAAGGAAAATTGAAAATTCCTGAGCATGAAACTTTAATGCTCCAGAAGAACCGATGAAATCGACTTTTATGGATACCTCAAACAATGATTTAAATAGAATAACCTATGGTAAAACATGGAAACCAATTACAGCATTACTATATTATAAGCGGCCTACACATGTTGATGTCCAGTTAGAAGAAGATACGATACAACAAGCTGTTTTCTATTCAGGAAGATCAATTGTCAATTGGACAATAGATGGTCTATCAGAACTCAAAATATTAGATGTAATGAGACATATGACTATGTTTGCTTTAGCAAATAAAATGGCAGGCAATCCAGATCAAGAGGTTGCCAAAGCAATAGTCAATAACTTTATTAGCTGGTTAAGAGGATGGTGGGATTTTTATGTTGATGATGAAACCAAAAATAGAATCATCACCAATACAAGACAATGGATGGCCAAAAATGAATAAAATCAAGAAATAATATATACTGAAAGTGATGCAGTAAACACCTTAATATATACAATCACTCTCCATTTTGTAGGCAGTACAGCCCTATTGGCAGCAAGATCCGAAGATCTACTGTCCAATCTAAGATGTCATACACTCTCTCATTATAAGTGGTATAAATATGTATTCTTTTCACGACTACTGATAAGAGAAGATTGTCAGTTAGACCATTGGAAAGAAAAATTTATTGCCGGTCTACCATATTTATTTGCCGAAAAAGTCAAAGAGAGATTACGAAAGAAACATAATGGAGTTATCATTTATTCTGCATATACACTTGGAGAATTATCAGAAGAAATATGTGCTGAAGGATTAGTTTTATGTACAGATCTTAAGCTGAAAAAACAACTTGATAAATAACAAATTACTAAGCGAAAAGAGCTTGGTGATTTTTGTGAACAATTTGGTTATCATTTGGATAGAAAAAATAAACCAGAAAAGTTATATAAGAAAAAGAAAAAATATAAAGAAAAATCTGAAAAGGATAAAATACATAAACAATATAAGAAATCTAAACATCAAAAGTTCATAAAAAAGTTTTCTCCCAATAATAAAAATAAAAAGAAAATACCAGTCTGTTATAAATGTGGAAAACTTGGCCACCATAAACAT